CCGCAGATAGACAGAAACAAACGTAAGGCAGCATGTAGAAAGTGTCTAGGCTGCACTAAGAATGACTGCGGGGAATGTGTAAACTGCCTTGACAAATCAAAGTTTGGTGGCCCCATCAAGAGAAGGCGCAGATGTATCCAGCGTGTATGCGCTCGTTCTTAAAACAGTTCGATGGAAGCTCATTCATTCATTCGTTTGCTCTTAAATATAGCTCATATTTAGAGGATTAAAACATTCTTACTATTAATCTAACTGAGCGTGAAAATCTTTAAAACTCGGAATGTCTATTTTGTTTTTCTTTTGAGGATTTTCATATCTGCTCACGTTTTAATAACGTAAATTACGGCGCCTGGTATGTTTACAAACCTTGGTTTGGTTCTTCTGTTGCTACTTGCCGGCTCGCTTGTTCCGAAACTTCACTTTCAATTATCGGAAAAAAGCTAAAAAGAAGTCCCGGGAAAGGTCGAGCATAGTACAATTTGGCAGATGGCGTGACAGTTTTAGCTCAGTTCTATGCTCTATTTAACAAATAGAGAAGCCTTGACTGTGCTCTGTTCTGTTATAAAGCACTTAGGAAGCGGCTAGAGCACGAAAGAGTGCTCTAGCCGCTTCCTAAGTGCTTTATAACAGAACAGAGCACAGTCAAGGCTTCTTTATTTGTTTTATATCAAACTATCAAACTCCACAATCTGCGATAGTTAGTTAAAATAGTTCGGCAGGTCGAATTTAACGTTTTTGCCTGAAGTTTTTAAAACAGAATCTTGAAGTGAAATGTTCAGTGAACTACAGCCGAATTATGGCTCATAAAAACACGCGAGTTTTTTCACATGACAAGGTAGAAAGCAAACTGTTCAAGGCGAGTGTTTTTTTTAAATGAACGACAACCGAATTCACCGGAACATGAAGATCGCACGGGATGACAGCGCCGCAAAGCTCGGCTGCAGTGACTGATGTGACTTTCCAATCAACGCATCGGAAAGGATATCAGAGCGAGCTCTTATTTTTTTCACTCGAAGGGCGGCCGATGTAGTTTCTGAGGCTTGCTTTACTGTGATTACCGGAGATCGCCATGATAAGCGAGCCGCGATGGACTTCTGCAAGATTAAATTTGCTCAGGCACCGTCAAGATTAGTATGAATTTTAACAGTTATGCCAGTTTGGTTATATTTTTCATCACTTCTGTTTTCTGTTTTGTTTTTAAACTCTGAACTTTATATACTATACGAGTGTTAGCTGTGTTTGATTTTTATTACCGTACGTAAGCTTGCAATCTAACTGTGCGTGAATTAATCTTTAAAACTCAGAATGTCTATTTTGTTTTTCCTTTGAGGATTTTCGTATCTGCTCACGTTTTAATAACGTAAATTACGGCGCCTGGTATGTTTACAAACCTTTGTCTGGTTCTTCTGTAGCTACTTGCCGGCTCGCTTGTTCCGAAATTTTACTTTCAATTATCGGAAAAAAGCTAAAAAGAAGTCCCGGAAAAGGTCGAACATAGTACAATTTGGCAGATGGCGTGACAGCTTTAGCTCAGCTCTATGCTCTATACTCTCACAGAGCACGCTCTTTCAACCAATGAGAGCGCGCGTTATATCCGAACTTTATTATAAACTCTCGTAGAGCACGCTCTTTCAACTAATGACAGCGCGCGTTACATCAGTCCGAACTTTATTATAAATAAAAGTGCAGTAAGTAAAGGAAAGCAATATGGGGGAAACTGAATTCCCATATAAAAACTGTTCTCGAAGGCTAATATAAATAACTATACGTTGTATAAGAAAGAAGCAAGAGAAACAACTAAACAATGAACAAAAAGTAAAATCTAAATAAATCTCATTTCCAGATAACAAAACTATGTACAGGGATAATTCAGTAATCGAGTTCTGAGGAATTCAAACTGGAAGCTGACATAACAAAATTAGGTAAAGAGTTCCAATAAGTTAAATAATAAATGTTGTGTAGGCGTCTCCACGAAAGGTATGTCCAGACTACTTGCATGGAAAAACTGGCCTCAGCTATCGCAACTAATTTTTCAAAATAGTGTTTAAAACTAAACTGGTGAGCAGCACTCTGCGAACAATAGTTGTAAAACTTCTTTATTCTCCGACGCGTTTCGTCTAACTGTTGTAGACTTTTTCGGGTAGTTTTACAAGTAACACTAAACGCCTGTATTTATAAGTCATAGTTAGCGGCTACACGGGGGCCAATGACCATAAAGGCTTGGCCAGACCTTCGGAAAGGAACCGGCGAAGTTGCGAAAGATTTAAAGATTTTTGGGAGCAAGGTGGGAGGATTATTTGGGGACCACGGTTTTGGTTTTCTTTTTTCGCCACGCACGTTACGCAGTAAGTTACAAAACGTAAATATGATTCTTCTTGATGCCCTTCCGGATGCCACCGATGCCCTTTCCAATGCCTCCATTGTTTATTACAGCAGTAAAAAATATTTGTATAATCAATACTTTTGAAAAATTGCTTAACGTTTTATTTAGCGGAGTTTCCTGTTGACACTTCGGCTTTACAACACCATTGTTTTCCGCAACTACAACTGATATGTCTCTATATGAAGTATTAACGTTGTTTCCCCGCTGACCATTCGTATTTAGAGTTTTGTTCTTCAGTCTCACGGTAATAGTGTTGTTTAATAGATTGCATAGAGTGTATGCAGTTTGGTTTCAGGTTTACGATTTTGCTTTTTTCAACAAGTGTACGTTTTTCAAATAAGACATTGGCATACTTGGCATACAAGGCTTTCATGGCTTTCAAGTGCTCGCGACTCAATCCGTTCCTAAAATACCGCTCAATAACATCTTTTAGTGTGGATTGGTCGCGAACAATACTACTTGTGTATGCGTCTGTAAGTATTTTGAGCGTTTGCACCATAAAGCTCCACGTAATCGTAAACAAAGATATTGGACCTCCGTCGCCAAAGCAACAGCCCCAGAACGAAGACGAAATGACTGACAAAAGAGTTTAAGAAGCAAAAATCTCGTGGTTCATCTGTGACCCGGCCCTGTCCGGGCGTGACAACGTCAATCATCATCAAGGTAATACATGTGAACTTCTTTACCCTCCTTGGATCACAGTTAGTTGTCATGGTGCTGAGGGCCCAATGATCACTGGGCACTATTGCGCAATTTTTCCATTTTGTGGCGGAGGAAAAAAAAAGACGACAAAAAAACAAAGGCATTTTATGACTGGGCTACCACAGGTATCCCAGTAATGAAAGTTCCATCGATTAGTTCAACTGTGAACGATTAAAATTAATTGCAGACGGTTTTTAGGCCGCTTGTCAACCAACGTAATGACACTATTGCTTATACAAATTATTTCTGAAACCAATATTTTTCTGTCAACCAAAGTAATTTGAGGGAGAGAAAAGAGAAGATTAATAAGTCATTTATCGGCTCGGACGTCTTTGGTTAAAAATACTTTCCAGCCGGAAAAACGAGATATATTTATGAAAAATGGCAACGAAAGTAGGGATGTACTCGGCGACTCACGAAAGCGTTACCGTTGCCCGTGGGCGGAGATAGGAAATACTGACCGGGTTAAGAACCAATCAGATTGCAGGATTCGTTACCGTCCCTCTGAAAAAAAAAATAACACTGAATAATACAGTAGGCAAGCGTCGCAATATTTCATTTTGATAAACTTCAACATGACACAAGTTTAATTTTTGATGAATTGATTCTTAATAAAGTTAACAGCGTCCCATTCTAAGAGTTTTCATACCGGATTAAAGAAATGTATCAAAGAACAGCGCTTTCGCTGTTTTAAGCCTTGCTCAATTACAAGTGTAGTGAGCCCTAAAATCTTGGATCCAGCGCTTGCCAACGATTGTGTTTCCTTTCAGGAATTCAGCATAAATGAAGCGCTAAATGTTCCCAAAATACATCGAGTAAAACAAAGGAAGGAACCTGGTTATCCTGGAAATGAGTTCTGAAATAATTCCAAACAGCATTATCTCGTTTATAAGCGCAAAATTTACGCAAATCCCGGGCGTTTTGATCGCGGCGGGAAAACCAGCGTAATGACGTCCTGACCTTGTTGGGGAGAACGGCAACGCTAACACCGGAAGTCGAAATAGAGTCGTGTCCGGACTATCCGCGCGCTTTCCCGTTCTGAAATGACGTTCCCGTCCTCTCGCTAAATCACTCTAATCACTCTAATATGGCTGTTAAACGTGAGCTTGAGTATGTATTAGTAGGAAGAGATATGGTGACTAAATTAAAATTAAAACTGAACTGTGAAAAAAAAAAACTGGACTGTGAAAAAGTAAAACTGGACTGTGAAAAAATAAAACTGGACGTGGAAAAATAAAACTGGACTGTGAAAAATAAAACTGGACTGTGAAAAATAAAACTGGACTAGTCTGTGAGCCTGCTGGGCCATCGTACAAAATGGCTGACAAAAGAATGTTTTAAGCAAAAATCACGGGGTCCGTCATGTGACCCGGCCCTGTCCGTGCATGACAACGTCAATCATCATCAAGATAACACGTGATCAGCATGTGAACACCTGCACCCTCATTATATCACAGTTAGTTGTCATGGTGTTGAGGGCCCAATGACCACTGGGTACTATTGCGCAATTTTTCCATTTTGTGGCGGAGGAAAAAAAAAGACGACAAAAAAACAAAGGCATTCTATGACTGGGCTACCACAGGTATCCCAGTAATGAGAATCAAATAAACATGCTCATCGTGGTATCTGAGTTCGTCCTCGACCAAATATAAACGACTTCACAAGATCACTTTGTCTAGGCATCGAAAACAATTCCATTCGTCCAGTGTTCCCTAAATTAACGTCGAAACAGCCAAACAATTTCCCTCTATAGCCAATAATGACGCAAAATCTGCCTTGCAAAACACTTGCAACCATTCAAATTCCAACATCGAAAGACCCGATCCAAGAGTAACACACCAGGATGTTAACCATGAAATTGACTGCAACAAAACCATTGTTACGGTATAATCTAACCAACAGAAAAACACTACAATCCCACAAGCTCAACTACTTTATTAAACAGGGAGTAATGTTCTTAAGAAGGAGCGATTCCTTAAAGCAGTACAATAATCATCGTTAATAAATTTAATTAAGCCCACCACAGTCTATATCCTACCTCACCACTAACACAATCTCACTACTGTCTCCAAAGTTCCTTGAAATGAGCAATCTTCCGCAGTAACTCTCTCTCAGTATGGCCTTCAAAACAGTTGTCGCTCCGACAACAACAACTATTACTACTACTACTACATAAGTAAGTCTTTATAAATGAATGTGAGGGTAGAGTCTACCTTGGCATAAAGTGCTCAATGCTGTGGTAGCAGAGCTAAGTATACATAAGTTAAAGAATTAAAGAGGACGCATCGATTCTCCGTGACTCTGAGTTTCGTGCTTAAGACTAAGTAAGTTTTTATATATTTTCACAAAATGTTCTAGCACATTCCAGAAGCTTACATAAGAGCTATTCACTAAAATAGCGTGATACGCATTACGTAATACGCATTACGTAATAAGAGCATGAATCCTACTGAAAGCCTAAATAAATAAAATAAATAAATAAGCCTAAATAATCTAATAATCTTTAATTTACCTTAGACATTTACTGAAAAATGCGCAGCTTCCATTTATCATAAAATACTAAACCATCTGTTAAAAATACGTGGCTTCCATTCATCATTAAAATACTAAAACATCTATTGAAAACTACGAAGCTTTCATTCAGTAATTGATGTTTTAGCCTTTTTTGATAAAGTTCACTAAAAAAGGCTAAAACATTAATTGAAAAATGCATAGCTTCGATTTGATCCTTATCATAAAATGCGTAAGAAATGTATAATTCTGTACACATCGAAAGTGTCCTCGATACTAGATAAAGTTCAGCCTTCCAATCCGGGTTTTATTTGTCGACGTCACTGCCCATCGTCCTTCTTGAAAGCCCATGATGGACCGTTGTTAGGTTTTGGACGTGAAGAAACGTCTTTAGGACGCCTATCTCTTTGAAATTCGCGACGTCGAGAGCGAGAAGTCTGACGGCTGGCGTACTCTTCATCAAGTTTGCTTTTTAATGTTTTGAGATCTTCGCTCTCCCACGGAACTGTTTTGATGTACAACTTCTTTGCTTTAGAACACCCTTCATCACCAGATAGCGACTCTTTTCCTGATTCCGACACTTCTGATGACATGTATTCCTCAGTGAGCACCTCAGCTGCCTTTCCTTTTTCACGTCTAACCCAATCAATCTTATCCAGTGTTTCTCTTCTTCTCTTCAATTTCTATGATGAGGTAACAAAATTATATAACAAAAGCAATGAAATAAGGCCCAAAAATTCTAAGGTCATATAATTTCAGTACTCAAGCTTTCCTGACACCTCTACCAGTTATCATGGCAACCTAATCATTTACATGAGAGGATTGCCTCTGGAGATTAGCATTACTGCAAACGTTTGGCAAATTTATTTATAATCGAATAAGGCTTTCTTAATTCCCCATGTAACCGAACCCCCCTCCTCCCACACACACACCCACGCACACATACCCACCCACGCACACACATCCACCCACCCACCCACGTACACACGCGCACAAACCTGTTTTTTCCTGTTCTGGCGTCGACTATTTGTCTTGTGATCGTCGTACTTGTTGTCAGATTTTTTCTTGTCTGTTTCGTACAAAGACAAGAAATATCTTAGACCAACATCTGTAAGTGAAAAAATACCAGGTTAGTTTCACATTTTCGGCAAGCCTAAGAACCGAAGAAGCATCTATGGGCTGACGGGGTAAAGAAGCAAATTATAATGTACAGCGTACACGAAATTAGCCATAAACAGATCCACAACTTTGAAATATAATAAATAATTACGACCAACTTACTTTTTATCTGTTCATCTGTCCACTTGCAGGAGCCATTGTTATCAGACATTTTTTTTTTCACTTTCTTTAAAACTTCCTCGTTTTCCGCTGAGTCAAAGCTTGCATTGGAAAGTAATGAAAAAAAACACCACTGCATTATTTTCTTGGTCTTAACCTGATTTGCAACAAATTAAGTCGTTCTGTCACTGAGGGTTGATTTCTCGGATCTGAGGATCACTCTGTAGGGAGTCTCTGTTGGCAGGCCACTGATGATTCAGAGGTCGATCCTTATGCGGTACACTTTGGCAACGCTGGACAAGGGAATCCTTGTACACGGGAGAACTGTACAACCGATACGTACCTCCTCCTAAGTTTCTTCCAAAACTGCTTCAAAGTCTTTGGAGCTTTTTTGTCTTTATTTCTTCATTAATATTTCAGTTTCCTAGAGGCTTTGTTTGACTTTCACCTCGATTCAAACTTCTGCTTTCGAGTTTATAGTTATAATCCAGATATATCAAATAAATAAATACTTATGTCTTTCCCGTAATCCTTTACAGATAGATTTTCCAAAATGTTAAGTAAATTTACCTTCCTGTGAAATTAAATCCCCGAAAGTTATCTTTCTTTTTAAGACTTTTGTACGTCTTTCGAAAAGTGTCCTGTATTGAAAATAAAAGCACATCTTTGTGTTAGATAAGTGAAAATTTCTCCACGACATGGTCTAGAAAATTGTTTCTCCTAATTTTTTCCTGAGTATAAGCGAACTGAAGACTACTTCTTGACAGGTGACTTACACGACACAGGGGGTCCACCTTCTGTTTCTCCCTGCTGCGCTTCCTTCCAGTTGTACTCTCATTCCCATTGTTCTGCAGCTTTTGCAAATTCTTTTGGATATTTTCTATACCTTCATTGGTCTTGCTACACAATTCCAACACTTTATCAACTTGTTTGCAAGTGGCTACCAATTCTGCTTCCATATACGAAATTCTTTCTTTCATCTTTTCAATGTCGTCACAAATTTTGCGGGGACTCGTGACCATAACTACGGCAAAATAGAAGTATAACCATCATGATTACTACAGGAAAGTGTGGTCATACTGAATCATCGTCTCCACACTATCTAACTCTCATTCTGTCATTAATTACACTGACAGGTAACATGATCATGCGGTTAAGAGTGGTCTGAGTGCAGGCCAAGGGGTAATCCTCGGAAACAGTTTTGCGAAACAAAGTATTTTGAAAAGTATCTTTTGGCCTCTCAAAAATGTAGCACAAGGCACATCCACTTAACTCACCAATGTAATCATTCATTGCCAACTAAAGTCATTCTCATGATCTCAGGTGGGAAGCATCAGTTCCAATGTTTTACGATGGAAGATACTAAGGAGTGCTCCCCATTCACCGTATTTTACGGTTATAACTCGATTTTCTCCCCGCCTTTTTCATTCAATGATTAGCGAACAAACCTTCCAACTTATCTAAAATAAACTCAGACACACGTATTCTATGGTCTGTAGCCACTGATGTCTGAATAATTGTTAGCAAAAATAAACTGCATCGGTGCCGCGATTGTGTAGTCTCTTTCCCAGCCGTTTCTTAGTCTCGTCACTTAACGCGCTCTTGACGCGACTAGACCAAACAACGTCCAGCTCGCAGGCTAAGACAATGCTTACTACAGTTTCAACGACCGAGACAAAATAACAATTATTCAGTTACAGTCGGTTGTCTCAAAAATTTCTTCTACATAATTTTCAAGTGGAAAGCAAACTGAACTCTATTTTATCTCCAATAGACATGTTGCGGCCTCCGTTCTTCGGACAGGAGGAATTATATCGGACGAAGAGTAAAGTATCATGTTTCGACTATCTGTGAACATCAATGAAGTAATTGGTAAAACAAACTCCATTCAGCGGAGAGGGCACACTGGTCCATATACTTATTGATATTCTTACCTTCATCCTTTTCTCTATCGTCAGCGTCATCCAGAGAAGAATCGCTCATGCTATCGGTATCCTCGCTCTCATGCGTCTCCTCTGAACCAGGGTTAATGTGAGAAAAAATTTTAAACTTATAATCTACAAGTCGGACCATTGTATTTACAAATGTAGATGAACACGAGTTTAATAAACATCGTCACAAGTTCAGGTTACGAGTGCCCGACTTGTAATTACCAGTGGAGCGCTACAAGCGTAAAAGATGATACGTATCAAATTTAACAATACTTTTACACGAGTTCAACCAACTTTTCAATTCTTTTTTTTTATCTCGTGCAAATTTTGCGAGAACTCATAACCAAATCTACTGCAAAATGGAAGTATAATCACCATGATTACCGAAGGAAAGTGTGCTCATACTGAACTATCTCTTCTACACTATCTGACTCTTGTTCTGTTTTTAATTACACTGACGGGTAACATGATGATGCGGTTGAGAGCGGTCTGAGTGCGGACCAAGGGTAATTCTCGGAAACAGTTTTACGAAACAAAACATTTTTAAAAGTATCTTTTGACCTCTCATTAACAATTGTTTTTCTTTTTGCTCATCGCAGTTTCTTCGAGGTTAAAATTGTTTCTTAATAGGAAGTTCCGATCAGTTTCTTTGGCCCTCTTCAGGTGTAATATTAATTGATGGCTGGTTTTTGTTTCTATTGGTGACTAATCACTTAGTCATACCATCACCACTACATTAACTTTCGTGGTATGTGAATTCGTGTGTCAGAAAACGCAGCACAAGGCACGTCCCCTAACTCACAAATGTTATCATTCTTTGTCTACTATGGTCATTCTCACGATGGAAGACACTAAGGAGTGCTCCCCCTTCATCGTATTTTACGGTTATAACTCGATTTTCTCCCCGCCTTTTTCTGTTCAGATATTATACGTAAACTATCTCAATGAAACCGCTATGCTATTGAATGAAACTAGATAAGAGAAAGTGGAAGTAACATGTTTCTATGTTACATCTTTTATAACATTTTGCTAATTGCGCACTTCGTAAAAAATTTGCATGCTACGCATGCAAGAGGTATTTTTTTGGATGGCAGGATTGAGATGAGAAACTAAGTAACTGACGTTTGCATTTTTGTAAAAGAAAAAGAGCATCTAACTTTAAAAGATTCCGATGAAAATATCATTCAATGGTTAACAAACAAACCTTCCAATTGATCTAAAATAAACTATTTCATCTAAGATTAAGCAACACACTCTCTCCCCCGTTGCGTGACTAGACCAAACAACGTCCAGCTCGCAGGCTAAGACAATGCTTACTACCGTTCCTTCATCCGAGACAAAATAAAAATTATTCAGTTACAGTTGGTTGCCTCAAAAATATTCTTCTACATAATGTTGAAGTGGAAAGCAAACTGAAACTCTATTTTATCTGCAATAGACATTTTGCGGTCTCGTTCTTCGAACAAGTGAATTTAAATCGGACGCAGAGTAAAGTATCATATTTCAAACCAAATCAACATGGTCTCCTTAATTAGTTGTTGCCTACTGGACTTCGTCCCGTGCATGCGAAATACGTGACAAAATCCAGGGTGTTTACAAGGAATTGACACAGGATTAGGTAGCTAAAAGCGAATTTCGTAGGTAGAAAACGTCTAAGCACGTTAAAATTGCGTGGAAAATTGACTAACTGAGCATTTGGTTGCATCTGAAATTTTTCCATTCGAGCAGGATTACGTCATAAAAAAATTCAGGTCGTTCGCTAAAAAAAAGGCATTTCATCTAAGAAAGTCTAGTCCATAGTGACACGTAATTGGAGCGGGAAAATACCATTTAAACAGAAGATATAATTCAAGGAGAACTTTCACAAGCAAAGAAACAGATGTTTCACATTGCAGTCGCAAGGATACTTACCTTGCTTTTCTTTTTTAACCTTCCTCAAAAGAGCAATCACACGGCAAAAACAAGATTATCGATCAAATATGCTTAATGCAAATGCTTTGCACAACTTTTACTTGAGCCAGCAAAAATAAAATAACCTTAAGGTGATAATTTTCATTTTAAACATGCTAATTAACAAAATCTATTTCTGGAAATCGAGCTTGGCTTATTGGCAAAATACACCATAATCACAACTCGCCTTGACTTGTAGATACTGTTGGCTGCTGAGAAGGCCATGGAAAAGCCTAGGTTGGAAAAAACATAGTTATACATTACATAAATTGTGGCCAATCATCAGAGATATCAATGAATTTAGTTTTTCTCATATGATTTACATTGTGTACTACCAACCGAGAAAATTTGTCTGGATATAAAGTCTAGAGCAATTTCATTACAAAAGATACAATGTACACGTATGTAGCATGTATAATACTAGTCAAAATGAGCATCATTTGCATTACAAAAGAAGAAAGCCAATCAAGAGCATAAGATACTATCTTTATATCAACTGCTACATGTACTTAAGGCACTTCTTCTCTACACCTTTTGTTCAGACAAATCGTACCCCCCCTAATAGATCAATCATTATACATTCAATAATGATATATTTCACTGCTTCTAATACCCTCCCTTTTATATCTTTATTAAAAATTGGTATTCAGTGGATTAACTTTCATTAGATTTTAATGGATTAATTGACATGATGAGTTTTACGTCTAAAGTTACTCTCTTGTTTATAAAAATACCAAAATGCACACTGAGATTTTCCGACGTTGTTTATATGGTCCAAAAATGCATTAAATTATTCCATTTAACTGCTACTACAATTGTTAGCTTTTATACATGTACATACATACCTGCTGGTTTTGTTGTGAAAGTTGTGGGGTGCTACCTAAAAATTGTACCAAGTTATAAATTTAGCCAACACAACAAGAAGCACTTAAGGCTACACTCTAAGACGTTTATAATTAATTGACACAACTCTTTCTTTAAGGATGAATTTGTTTTGGAATCGATGATTCTATCAATTTCTTTGGTCCCCCTTAGGTATAAGGTTAAGAGTCAAGATGGTGGATTGGTGCTTTTGCTTTGTATTGTACTGTAGAGTACAAAAGAATCTGTTCAAGCCTGGGATTAACATCCTAACATCACCATGCATATTCTCCCTACTGTTCTTTCAATGCTGACAAGAAGAATTTGTTTAACAATCAACAGCTCCTTTGGTTGGTGATTATTTATATAGGGGCAATAATGTATGGAGAACTTAGATGCTAGTCACTTTCAAGTAAAGGGTTGATACAGGTTGGCTGCTAAATACAGGTTCCACAGAATAGGGATAAAACTTGATAAAAAGAGCACTTTGGTCCCAACAGTCCTAAGAAGAAAGATAATTTGCAATGCTTTGAGGATTTGATATCAAATTACTAACATTGAATTTGGGTAGAAGATAAACATAGAATAAATTTGACTTGAGAGATTATTCTTAATAGTTTTATCTGAGTGGTTCTGCTTTAAATACAGATGGAGGACAATACAAAGGCCTGTTGGGACTCAGTAAAGAATGACCATGACTAAGGTGAAAACTACAGTACTTGACCGAAAAAACAATCCAGACCTTTGACAACCAACCACTTTATATAAGGTGAGCAATCAATAAGGTGCAGCTTGATACAGGTTAAACTAGATATGGTTTTCTTTCATGATCATTTCCAGTGAATTTTGCCTGGGTTAGTAATAGGTAGTAGGGTAAAGTTGACCAAGGGTTAATATTTTGCTATGGGCTGCAAAAATATCTGTGAAAATCAACAAAGTAATTGGTAAAACAAATCTGAGGGAACGCGCTGAGGGAGTAAAAAACATAAATGTGTCATAATGCAAGGAAGAGAATGAAAATACAAATAAAGAAAAAGGAGGAAGCATAGAAACCCGTGTTGCAGCGTGCAGATATCTTTTGAGCCAGCCCTATACACCTAAGCCCGACACCACCCAGAGAAACTTGAAAGAGTGCTGTATATGAACCGGCTCGCACTTGCACGTAGGAGAGGCCATGACAATCAGCGAAAATAATAGCAAATGCAGATAATATTTGCAGTCAAAAAACAGGAAAATAAGATAACAGAAGGATTAAGAACTTTCTAGAAGTGTCTTCTTGAAAAAAAAAAAAAAAAAAAGATAAACAATTTTTACTTCTCATGAAAGGTCACGCAGTCACGCTACAAATACTATTTCTATACGTGGAATTTCTTGATGGTTGAAAGTGGAAAAAACATTTTCCAGTCTTACTTTCTGGAAACATGGCACAGTTTATGAATTTACGGGGTTACTGATATTTCCTATTACATACGGGGGGAAGAGTTTCCCGTCATCCGCGGTATAGAAAAGCCGAAGTTGTTACACTCAGGAACTTGTACGTCAACAAGCACGCGACATGCGACTTTAAAATCTCCTCTCCTGTTACAGTTTCCCTATTGTAAACTGTGCGATAATGATAATAGATGACCAAATTATAGGCTAATGAATGTTTTGTTCTGTAAAAGAGCCCTATTTCCTGATTTTAGCAAATCTGTAAGTAATAAACGACTGAACAAAGAAACGCTACGATTTTCCCATTGATTTTCCGCCTAAATGCATCTCTCTAAACGTGAAATTTTCCATTCCTATAAAAAATCTCGAAAGTTTTTCACATTTTTCACCTTTCTTGATCAATCATCTTGTATAAAGAGCAAAAAAATGTTGGTTTATTTTGTCAAGTGACCTCCTAGAGCAAGAATTGTGCGACAGGTGTATTTGAGAGAAACTTGTCACAGTCGCAGATTTTAAAAGGCATCCAAGACAAAAATACGGTAGCGCCCAAAGATTTTTTTGATAATTTTCAGAGATGAAATAATGGGTTATAAAGGGTAATTAAGATTTGTGTTGTAGCTTTCTGGCAACGGGAGATATTTGACCTCAAAGTTGTCAAATATTTGGATGAATTGAAGTCTAAAAACACAGTCGCATATTTGCTTCTGTTGATTGACATGCCGTCAGTCAAATTGACTGGTACTTGCGGCAGAAATTAACTAGGGATGTAAAAATATGTGTGCAGACCCTCAGAGTAATTGGTTAAATACCATCGCAGTGAGAGCTTCATACATTTGACCTATTTTGAAGCGATTTCCTTGGTGAAAACCAAGAAAAACCGGGGGGGTGAGTCTATCTCCCCCCGGAAAAAACCAAAACAGAAACCAGTTTGTCTTTTTGAGTTTTAGGGCAAACTGGCAAAGTTTCATTGAAATCTGAGAGATGGCATGTAGCACGACTGCCCGGTGCTCTCGTGGACACGCTCTTAATACAGGTCCATTGTGACACGCAATTGGAGAGGGGAAATACTGTTTAAACAGAAGCTGTAATTTATGGAGAACTTTCACAAGGAAAGAAACAGATGTTTCACATTGCAGTCGCAAGGATACGTACCTTGCTGTTCTTTTTTAACCTTCCTCAAAAGAGCAATCACATGGCAAAAACAAGATTATCGATCAAATATGCTTAATGCAAATGCTTTGAACAACTTTTACTTGAGCCAGCAAAAATAAAATAACCTTAAGGTGATAATTTCATGCGAGGCCTGTAGCTGACAGCATGTGCATTTTAAGTGAAGGTATATGTACATGTATAAGTATGTATACCTGTTTTCAAAAACGATGCGATATGAAATAGACGCATGAAATACATGCACCTTTTGTTTTCTCATCAAAAAGTGTCTCTTTGATGAGAAAACAAAAGGATTCATATATTTCCTGTCTATTTTCAATGGCTACTTGTGGGGTCTGTTGCAACAAGCAAAACAAATGTGCTCATTGCCCAGAAGTATCAAAGACAAGCATCGTAAAGCTGACAAGAAAATTGAAGAGAGCATAACATGCAAATATATGTATTTTGCTTCAAATAAAACCCTTAAATTCTATGATAGAGAGGCCTGTGAACTACTAGTCAAGCTCCCTACAAGTATCTCTCTTGTGCACATAACATTTCTAATTTTATCACCAATAATAAAAAAAACCAAGACCTTTCCACTCAATTGCCAAGTTAAAAGTAAAGAGCTGTTGTTTCCTGAGTCACATGGGAGTTAAACATGATAATTAACAAAATCTATTTCTAGAAATTGAACTTGGCTCTTTAGCAAAGTACACCATAATCACAACTCGCCTTGATGTGTAGGTACTGCTGGCTGCTGAGAAGGCCATGGAGTAGCCTAGGTTTGAAAAAAACATAGTTATACATTACATACATTGTGGCCAATTATCAGAGATATCAATGAATTTAGTATTTCTCACATGATTTACATTGTGTACTACCAACCGAGAAAATTCATCTGGATATAAAGTCTAGAGCATTTTCATTCAAAAAAATACAATGTACATGTATCTAGCATGCATAGTACTGGTCAAAATGAGCATCATTTGCATTACAAAAGAAGAGAGCTAATCAGGAGCATAAGGTACTATCTTTTTATTAAATGCTACTTAATGCACTTCTCCTCAAGGCCTTTTGTTCAGACAAATAGTATCTTCCCTGAGAGATCAATCCTCATTATATACATTCAATAATTATATACTTCACTGCGACTAATACCCTTCCTTTTATATCTTTATTAAAATTGGTATTCAGTGGATTAACTTTCATTAGATTTTAATGGATTAATTTACATGATGAGTTTTACGTATAAAGTTGCTCCCTTGTTTATAAAAATACCAAAATGCACACTGAGATTTTCCGACGTTGTTTATGTGGTCCAAAAATGCATTAAATTATTCCATTTAACTGCTACTACAATTGTTAGCTTTTATACATGTACATACATACCTGTTGGTTTTGTTGTGAAAGTTGTGGGGTGCTACCTAAAAATTGTACCAAGTTATAAATTTAGCCAACACAGCAAGAAGCACTTAAGGCTACACTCTAAGACGTTATAATTAATTGACACAACTCTTTCTCTGAGGATGAATTTATTTTGGAATCGATGATTCCATCAGTTTCTTTGGCCCCCCTTAGGTATAAGGTTAAGAGTCAAGATGGTGGATTGGTGCTTTTGCTTTGTATTGTACTGTAGAGTACAAAAGAATCTGTTCAAGCCTGGGATTAACATCCTAACATCAGCATGCATATTCTCCATACTGTTATCAATACATTTCCTTAGTTGCTGACAGGAAGAATTTGTTTAACAGTCAACAGCTTGGTGATTATTTCTTTTATTTTTGTGACCTTTACAAGTGTTCAGGGACGATAGTGTAAGGAGAACTCACCTATAAGAAATCCAAGGATTCTATTGATCTCATCTTCCCCTTGCATCTTCTCTAAACTGGAGTTAATTTAATAAAAATTTTACACACGTAATCTACAAGTTGGGCCATTGCATTTACAAGGGTAGACAAAAACAAGCTTAATAAACATTGTCACAAGTCCATGTTATAAGTGTCTATCTTGTAATTACTGGTGTATCACTACAAGTGTAAGGATGGTAAGTATCAAATTTAATAAACCTTTCACAAGAGTCCAACTTGAAAATCACAAGTGCAAAATACAAGTTGCATGTCACTTGTAAACATTGAGTACTTCTTGTGAAAAAGGACACTGGAGCATTACAATATGTCACATTCTAGTGAAGGGGAACTCAAAGAGCTGCTGAGACATCAAGTTAACTGCAAAACAAGGAATTTCCAAAACAGACCACTTTTCAACATAGAAAATCCAAGGGAATTTCAAAAAAGTGTCTGCCTGTGGATGCCTCCATCCACCTTTTGAAATTAATAGGCCTGCGCTTAAAGCATAGAACAAGACGTACAGAGCATGCAACAACTTTAAGTATTTCTTGCTTTCTTTTTTTTTGTCACTGTTGACAAAAGTGGGGCCAAAACTATTATTTTATGTTCCTTCACAAGCTGAGCCAGAAGCTACTTTTGCTGTTTGGATAACATGCTCAACAACTATTCAAAAATAAAATTGTAAGCATACGAAGCAAAGCCAAATGTATTGAAAGGAAAGCAGCCATTTTTAACTGTATATGTTAAAGACACACTTACATTCAAGCAGAGTTTACAGTTGTAAGAGGGTTTCATTAGGGATAATCATAAGCTATGAACCAGCTTAAAAGAAAATAATCTTTTAGGAGTGAAAATTAACAAATTTTAACCATTAGTCATAAATAAATTTACCATAAAAAATTTTACTTTAAAACATAAAGGAAGAAATGAAACATTATTCTTACACCTGTGTAAAAACTACAATAATATTGTATTTTCTTTATTAAATTGACCCTTGGTTAGCAGTGAACTCTAGGGAACCCACAAACTTCTTGCAAAGAAGAAGGAAGGTAGCTCACAGTGTTGTGGTCTGCCTTCATTTCCGAAAAAAATTTTTAACTTAGGGGTATCTGCTATATTCTCTTAATAATACTGAAAAATGCTAGATGCTGTCTGGCCAAAGCCTCTTCTTAACCCTTTAACTCCCAGATCAAATTTGTAATTCTCCTTACTGTCAACCATACAATTCTTATAATGTTAGTTCAGAGAATTTAGTATTGAAGCAACTAATTATCCCCAAATTGATATTTTCCTTTATTCTCGTTACTTATCTGCTTGATATTGTATTGATATTATAAGGAGAAACTCTGTCTGGGTCACTCATGGGAGTTGAAGGGTAAATAAGTGTTGTAAATACATTAGAGCATTCATATATATATATATAAACAGAATACACCATAGAAATCTATCATCATCATTATAATAACAAAAGTGGGTTGAGTTTTAAAATTACCTATCAAGTTTCAGCAACAATATTTGAGATTTAGAAGTCAATACATAAGAACTTGAAAACACAATATGAGCTTCACTGAACAGTATGTGAGATGAAGCCCACAATGTAAGAGAAAAGTAGGTCACCATGCAAGACTGAAAAACTTTCATGCCATGATATCTTAATGATAAGATGCATATCATGCAGTGATATCTTAATGAGACTTTAGAATCAATACAGAAGAACTAGGAAAGAGACACTTTTGGGAGGGTTTTGGTGACTGATATGTAACATGAGGAATTCATGCTACAAGACCTACAATCTGGTTTCACCCATTATTATTATTTTTTTGGGCATTGTGGCACACTTTGGGGCCAAAATGGAAATTTTTCCAGACTTCGCTTCAGTAATTCTCCATTAGTAAAAACAAAGAACTTGTACTCTATTGCTTTATTACTAATGATTGGTGTTTAGAGAAGGTAATTGTCGAGGAAATCGAAAATTACGAGCCGACCCAGCTTAACACTTTGCTCGAGCGATCACAAGCCGAAATTAAAAACAAACATGGTTAAACCTCGGAAACGACGATTCCATTTCATCGAAAGTGATTAGGACACAGACTGAACAATTCCTTGAACTGTTTAGCCGGACTTTGAACTTTTTTGCACCTTAAAGATGTGAAGATATCATTGCATAATTTATTATTATTTTGACCGTAGGCGGTTGTTTTGACCGAACGCACGGTTTGAATAAATGATTTTTGCACTTGACGCGAGCGCTTTCTCGTGCAATATGCAGCAAATCGATAGCGCTAAATATCAATCGTAGTTTCAGTACAACACAAGCGACTAACGATTGACCGTTTATCGATTTGCTGCATACACTAGAAGCCAGGGTTGGAAAACTGGATAAAATTTCCGTTCAGCCCCATACTTCATTCACAACACAAGCGACTAACGAGTGACCGTTTTAGAACAGCAACTTACCTGACGTGTGATTACGATTAACTGCTGGCACCAACTATTTTGTTTTATCACCAGGGGTTCATATTTTTGGCACAAATGGTTCCCTGTACTAAGACGATAGCGAAAAGGCCACATCTCTAGTTCAGAGCGAGCACATGTAGCTGACAGAAAATGACGCGAAGTCCAATGTGGGCGGCGCTAAGTCATGTCGCGTGACTCGGAACCAGTGCATTTACGGTATTTAGTGGTATTTACGGTATTTAGTGACGCTTAAAGGTAAAGGAAAGGTTATGTAGTAAGTAATAACCTTTCCTATACCTTTAAGTGTCACTAAATACCGTAAACGCATAGGTTAGAAAAACACGTCTGAGTAGATCCTATACCTTATTCTGAATGACAAATAAAAGATTCCGAAAAGATTTCTTATCTTAAAGATTCTTACGACTTGACGTAGTTTATGTTCACTTTTAGTTTAAATACGGTTTCATTATTTGGTTATTCAGGTTATTCGCTGGTTCTTGCAACATATTGATCAAAGTTCAGCAAAAGATGCGCCACATAGGGTATATGAAGTGTTTCTCGAACTTATGCGTTTACGGTATTTAGTGACACTTAAAGTTACTGGAAAGGTTATTCGTTGGGTCTCGCAACATATTTACCAGGGTTCAAAATAAGATGCAACAGAGCGACAGGAAAGGTAGTTCGGTATTTAAAACCAGAGCGAACAGAAAATACGATAGTTAGCAAGACGCCTGAAATAAGAAATCTTCCTGGGACCTCTCTATTTATTCTTCAGAATAAGGTAAATGAAACAATTCGCAAGAAAAGTACGGTGAAGTTGGGAGTTTGGCTCGAATCTATGCATTTATTGAAACTTCAGGATACAGGAAAATTCATTTTATGAGTCTTGGTATATATATCAAATTCTCGAGTGAACAGAAAAAGCGACAGGTCGTCGGAATCCTGAAAAAGTAAGGAATTTTTGTGAGTTTTTTTTACTTTTATCCTCCAGATTAAGGTAAGTGAAACGAATCACGCGCAAGGGAAGTCAAGGTCGGACATACGAATTTACTGTTATTTAGTTTGGAGTCTTGCTCTAAATTATGTATCCACGGTTTTGCATTTATTTTTTTATATATATTTACAAACCCAAGCAAAAAAATAACGAGAAAGAAGAAAATTCTAGCGACGGGCTTGCCGAAGCTGGGTAAAATTTAGAGATCTGAGACAAGGACGAACGTGAGATGAAACCCGTTGAACTAAAAAAAAGCCTACTTGTTTGTTTCTTTACAGAGTTACAAGGAACATTTCTACAATGGAACATATATTCCAGGAGCACATGCTTCCCACAGCACGCCAAGGAGCAAGCTATTTTCTGTCAAGGGACAGGCAGACTGTTCGTGGGATGGTAACAGAAACCCATGAAACACCTGCTGGAGTAACACCACACGAGTCAAACAGTGACTTAAAGGTTTTAAAGAAGACGTTCCCTACACAAGTCGGAGTCCATGGCAAAACAAAAGCGGCCTGTTACTCTGTAACACTTATCGTATCTACTCAGAGTAACATATTAATTACAGGTTTTCCCACTTACTAACGACTAAGCAAGGTTTATCGAAATAGTGGACTCAAACTGCTCATCAACATTCTCTCTTGTGGCTTATGGAAAGTCATCATCGTGAAAAGTTGTTAGAGACTGAGTACCTAACGACAGAGTTCATGAATTTTCTTGAAGCTCACCTTTGTAAGATAATTTCATAATTTTGGAATAATTGCAAACTTAAGTTGTGTTTCTTGTGGAAACAATATATATTTCATACTAATAAACAACTATTGTTCCTTTTATGATGGTGCAAAAGGAGTCTCTGAGAAAAAAAATTTCTCCTTCACCGTCTTCGCAGGAGATACAACAAAAAATTATCCGTCTTTTTCTTCGAAGAGATAGAGAAAATTATCCTTCACCTTCCTAGAAGACGCCCGGATCACGAGTAGAAGATACAAAAAAAAATTCCATCTTCACCGTCTTCGCAGGAGATACAAAAATAATCTCCTTCTTCTTCGAAGGCGCCCGTCATCAGCCACAGAAAATACAAAAAAAAATTATTCTCTACCGTCTTCGCAGGAGATCCAAAAATTTTTCCATCTCCTTCTTCAAAGGCACCCGTCATACGCGCAGATGATACAAAAAAAATTTTCACCGACTTAGCAAGATATAGTATCTCTTTCTAAGACGGTAAAAATATTTTATTCTTTATCCTTCTCCTTCTTCGAAGGCGCCTGTCATCACGCTCAGAGGATACAAAGAAATTAATTCAAAATTTTCTTTTTCGCATGCTCATAGAAGCATGACTGTTGAAGGAATTGATTTTAAAAACATGTGGACCGATGCCAAACCTAGCCTCTCCAAATCTTCCCCGATGCATTACGGAAAAAACTAATTCGTACACGTGGTGTTTTAGTAAACAACTACAACCTACGAAACCAAACAATTTTCATTAAATACTGAGCTCCTTGTAATCATAAGATTTTTTTTCCTCTTATAGGGCGAAGGATGCCGCTAAAAAGTGAAACGACCGAGCGCCATAATCCACCGAATTAATGGGGGCCGAGTCGAGCAGCTTGATCTCTGATGAAATGTTGTTGCATGCTTAATATTTATAACTTGAAATGTCAATCGGCCTTTCCAAAAGTGAGCATTTTCCCGTATTCCTATTAGAATTCTGTTAAAGGGTCTTTCAAGCTCCATGTAATGCTTTATAATTTGCAAAGATCTGCGATCCGAGGTCGCCATGAGGAAAGTATTTGGTATTAAAATTAAAAAATTTGCCGACACGCTATTATTCCTCATTGTTCAATTAACGTTCGGGCCGAATTCCATGTAATACATCTAACAGTCAAATATTTCCCGCTCCTATGTGTCAACATCTGTACTGGTGCAAATATTCACCTATTTTGTTCTCCGGTTTACCTAAACACCACAACCGGACAGAGGTTTGTTTTGGGACGAGACAGGTCAATAAATGAGTATATCCTACGTACATAAACACTAGACTATTACATCAAAGGTAGTCGACGGATACACCAAAACAATGAAAACAACGGTCAAAACCCACACTGGGAAAAGGATTAGTGGAAGTTATGTCTTGGGAAGACTTGACAAAGCATGTTCGCGGAATGAAACTTTCTAGAAGCTAGAAATAAGCTTGTTGCTTGCTTGCATGATTGCTATTAACACATGCCGGCACAGATACCTAAGCGGTAATATACTAGAGTAATTTCGCAAGTAAAATGTGTTAGCGTAATGCATAGCCATTAGCTCTATTATGAAAAACTGCCCGTACCCAATCCACCTCTAAGTTATCGATTTCTAGAATCATATTACTAGAGATTAATACTCACAATAATTACTGTCTTACTCAACTTGCCAGACTGCTTAATTTAGCTTATGATCCTATTAGAGCGTATCCAAACAGTCCGCTTTTCCGGTTTGTCAGTTAAAAATCCTTTTTGAAAAACAAAACCGAAAAGGTTTCTATTTTTAAAATGCTATGCTTCTATGTTCAAAATTAGTCTGCTTGCGAACTCGTAAGCAAACTTGCCCACTAGCTTGCATTTTTTCAATTGAAATTGGCAAGCTCGGGGTCAAATATGTTGTAAAGTCTAAATATTGAAACTCTACGTTGAAAAGTCTAAACATTTTTCTATGCAAATTTAGAAACGCTTCAAATCTATAACGCTGCAATGAAAAGGATCGCTCAGCTAGGAAATTTTAAGAGGTTTAGAAGACAACTTTATATTTCGCGTGACAGCTAGCGTCGATTGAGCTATCCGGTTTAATTATAGATTGTATTTGCTACGGATATACACTGTTGTGTAAGATCGATGCGTAAAGTCGACTAAACCAGAAAACTCGCGTTGTAGGCTACAGCTGCTATCTTAAAAAAAAGCCTGCAACTAGAAGGCTTAAACGCAAATCGTCCTCACAAGCGGCAGGTCACCACGATCAACTTGAAACTGACATAAGTTATCCAACAGTGTCTACGCATCTTACCTTTTTGCAAATGACAACGCTGTTTGGCCAGAGACCTCTCTCGTCTCCACAGACAAGAAAACTGAAGGATAGTTTGCTATCTGCGAGAACATTTTCTCTTTCACGGGTGTCTTTGCAACTTGGCCGCAAAATATGTTGGATACTGATAGGAGTTTACTGGATCGACACTTAAAGCTTTAGGGAATTTAGATCTAAATGTAAGTGTTAAGCGTTGTAAAGATATCATTGTTAACAACCATATTTTCTTGTCTTTCCGTTCGACCACATTTTGATTATTGCAATGTATTGTGGGGAAACTGTAACAAAGGCCTTTGTGAAAAACTCCAAAGGCTTCAAAATGGCGCAGCTCGCACCTAATGTCTGTGAGCTATGACACTAATTTGGATGTTCTTTTCCGGGCTCTAGGGTAGCGGAAACTTTTTTATCAAAGGTTAGAACTGAAGTTTATCTTAATGTGAGACATCAAATGATAAGACACCTGAGTATTTGAGATCAAGATTCGTTTATCGTGACAACGTAAGTGCTTATCGTTTGAGAAATACCGAAAACAATCTAGTTCTTCCACAACCTCGAACTGATTGTCTCAAGGGAAGTTTTTCGTGTAGCTGAGCTCAGTTATATAGACCTAGGGCAAACATCTTCATTGACCGATTTCAAATCTAAATTAAGTTGCCATAGTTTTATGTAGTATATTAAGTTTAAGTAAAATTTTAGACACGGCCTCCATGAAAAGCAGTTTTTATTTGAAACATTTTTGTTATTTTTATCGTAGTTAGGTAGATAGGTAGATAGGTAGATGTGGTAGTGTGGTGTGATAGTGTGGCATCTTAATTGACTGATGGAAATACCTTGTACAAATAAAGTTCTCGTATCGTATCAGATTATTCTGCCCCCCCCCCCCACACACACAGACACAGACACGGACTACAGTACTATTGGCTCAACCGGTCCATAAAGATACCGCGGGAAGCAAATACACTCTATTTCCTATAAACATCGCCTAGTTCTTATCAGCCGGCATCGGTAATTTTATCGACATACCATATAATGTAAAATTGCATCGTCTTTGCCAAAGAAGCAAATCTTAAATTTGTTTTTTTGTTGTGTACTAATGTACATTACTTATACATTTCTTGTGTACATTTTCGTACAAAGTTTGCTCATTTGTTGTAATGTTATCGTAATTTTTTCCAGCAGAATATGGGGGCAACAAGAGCTTCCATCTGCAATTCATGCGGTTTGAATTGAGAGATATTTTTTAAAAGGCTTTGAATAACTCAGCCCAGAAAGACAAAGCAGTTACAAGAAAATCTGCCATTATCAACGTGATGACAGGAAACAATCTTGAATTCCATCTCAATTCTTAAATTTAGTTGGAAGTAAAATCCATTTCTTGTAGTGTGCCTGATTAAATTTGTTCAAGTGACCTTGGTCACAATAATGGTGCTTTGAAATAGAAAACTGGCACTAAATATCAATCTCGCTATGGTAGCTGAGTAGAGGAAAACTCTGACAGCATATCATGAAGTTCTTTTGTGGCTGCTATCTGAGTGCGGACTGTCGATAGATACTCACTGTAGGTCTGTGTCCCTGCAACGTTCTCTGTTTTGCTGCTGAATATAGGTTTGGGTGTGTATCTTCCACTATCGTGAGTTTGACTTGCTGTTTCCCTCATGAGCCCCTAGAGAAAGAAAGTAACATGGTTAATATTCAACAATCTTTCTTGGTTAGAGACTGTCATTAAGTATCTCCCTTGCTTCTAAGGAAATTCTCCTAGAATTGAAAGGGACAGGAAGAGGAAAAGAGATTTTTCCAAATACTGCTACGCTGTGGATGCCATTTTGTAACACCTCTAATCAGTAAAAGATCACAGATGATGTTTTAACCCCTCACACACTAACATCAGTATACATACTTTCCTTACAGTTCTCTATACATTTCCTGAGGTCCTCTCAAGGAGAAATTATTTAACAATCAAGAGCTTCTTTAGTTGGTGATCATTTTCTTTATCCTTGTGACCTTAATGTTTGATTTATGGGACATATTATTATAAGGAGAAATGAGACACTAGTCACTCTTTGGGGTGAAAAGGGTTAAATGTAGTAGAGTGGGCAAGTTTCCAAGGGTCAGCTTAGCACATCTCTGTGAGGTGGTATTAAGGCAACATACAGCAGTAGGAGGTCTTAATTTACATTTACATGGTAAAGAGACAAAACACTGCTAGTAATCATATCATCCTCAAGTCAATTCTCAAACACATTAACAGGCGAAAAACCAAATCAAAATGCATGAAGAAGTCAACACATACAAATCATAATCAGTGAATTATTGCTAAAAATGCAATCCTTTGGGAAGGTTTTTGGAGGCAGTCGGTTACCAGGCTGTTTCTTATTTGTAGAGTGTTGGTCAGGTTTTTTCACAATTAAAAAAAACAACATTTTTACCAGATAGAGCTGTAGCTGGTCACATGCAATGTAAAAATCTTCTAAACTTTTCTCAAGCTTGTTATTTGGACCCTCAGTTGTCTTCCTGTAGAATAATAATAATAATAATAATAATAAACAAAATATTGTACTTGTCTTATTGAGTTAATGGTCAGGAGTAAGTTTTAATTATTTCTTATTTACAGAAATAATCATATTTCTCTGACAGTGTTTCTCTTTCGACCAAATAATTGGGAACCCTCACACTACCAGGAAAGTGCAACATAACTGCTGACTGGCTCAACCCTTTAACTCCCAAGATCTGATTGTTAATTTTCCACGTTAGCTGCTACACATTTCCTCGAAAATTAGTTATGAGAATTTGGTGTTAGATCAAAATAACAACTTCTGCCTGATAGCTTTGAGTATTCCCATTGCTTTTTCACTGGATGATGTATGGATATTATTGAGTAAAGTTGCATGTTGATTACCTCTGGTAGTTAGAGGTTGATAGCTCTTGTACAAATACTACACCACAGGATAAGCTCTAATTACCACAAGCAAGCTATACTGTGCCTGACCCAAGGTGGAGTCAAAGAGGCAAGGAAAGAACAATACTTTCAGTTTTTTGTTGGAAACAAGCTATGTAAAATGTAACTCTTTGCAAATCACATTATTTTGCTCATTTGCTCTGTTCTTATGTGGTGCCCTCATCTCATTTCTTCATATCATATGCAACTAATTGTATTTTTATCATTTTTCCTATACATTTATTCAGTTGATAATTCATTTATTTAGGAAAATGTCTCAAAATTTTGTTACTTCCTTTTGCAAGCAAGCACCGTTTTGCTATTATATCAAGCTCTACATATATCCACTGTCCATTGGGGTTCATATACAGTTCATTGATTTAGTTGTCTATGAGCTGATAAATGAATAAAGAGAGAAAGTTTTAAAAGAAACTGTGTTACTGCATTGGTGGGAGAATATAACATGATACTTTGGTTTAATCAACTCCATTGATAATGTAGATGGGCCACTGTGAAGAGTTTCAAAGCTAACATTGTGGGCCTTGGTCCTTCTTGAATATTTGCTCTGATGAAAGGCTAACGCTTGAAAAGTCAGCTTTTAAACTCTTTAACATGGCCAATTTACGTTACAAACTCAGTTAATTAAAACCAAATTATCCTATGAGCTAATAAACCCTTTCACCTCCAAGGTTGATCAAAAAGGAATTAGTCCTTTCAAATAACCACACCATTTTAAAGCAGAAATGTGATAAGATAACACAAAAATATCAACTTACGTTCCAAGGTCAACTTCTGCATTTTGATCGTTGGCCTGATTTGCTAATCTCATAACGTTCTGTAACAAATTAAACCGAGTGACTGCATTATATTAGGGCGACTGAGTACCAGTAAATGTACATGGAATTGTTGAACTTAAGCTTCGTAACATCTGTCTCATCAGGTTGCAGAGAAATTTTGGAATCACAGTCAATGAATCCCATCTCTTTTAATAAATATTATCAACTGAAAACTTGAAAGATCAAGCCTGGCTCTATTTCTTGTGCAAGTTATACCCATCACGAAATAAGATAATCAAGTCTAGGGTACCATCGATCGCGTAAAGCTTGACAACAACACCTGAGGTGGTGTTTAATCACCGTCATCTCTCTTTAAAGTATGTTATTCAGTATAATCCTACCGCGTGCGTGTCTTTAGCATGTTTGATCAGTTTTCCAACGTTCTCCGCATCGATCGCCGAGCCGGCCGTATTAGAAGATGCCATTTCGGATTTTAGTTATGAGCCTCCTATATGCCAAACCAATTGTTCAGCAGTCTGCATCAAAGATTTATACCTATTTATGTAGGGAGTTACTCACCCGTTCCTCACGTTGTAACCCAGTAACTACTGGACTTGTAATGACGTTGTAACCAGTCAATTAATGCATTGTAATCGGGATAGACCTATTGACAAATCTAGACCTGGGGGAGGGGTGAATGAGTAACTAAATTGCCCATAAGAGACGCCATATTGGATTTTGATGGGAATGTTTTTTGGGCCGGGTAAGAGGAAAGGATTTTCCTCCTTGTTGTATCCTCCTAATGCATATACTATGCCTTGGATTCGTACAGATAAGATTCACACACTGATCGACCATGTGCTTCTTCTTTTTATTACCTACTTCATATAGGAGTACATGAAGCCTGTCTGCGCTCAGTACGTCATGTAATACATGACATCCCTCCTTTTCTTGAAGAAAGAAAACAATAGTCCTTAAGACTTAATCAAAACAAAACATGCGAATCTGAAAATTGGACGGAGAGCTGGTAATAACTAATTCGCTTAATTTCAACACGAGATTCACCGGTTCTAAGCAGTCCTTGTATCAAAACAACATTTAACATTTCGAATCAAAGTTCACTGTTTCAAACGAAGTTCAACATTTTAAAACAAAGTCTTTATATCTCCCAGGGAGTCTCCTCTGTCTCTGAGGTCTTCCACCTTTTGGTGTTGCTGGTGGGCTAGGTACTGTTGCTTGATCAACTGCTGCATTCTTACTAGCAGAGGTTGTACCAGATTTGCTTCCTGCACTTGCTTGTGCTAAAGGTGTGAGATGAGTTAGGGGTCTACTGGGAGGTGTTGTAGGCACTACTGGTGTAGATCCACTCATCACTTGATTTGGTACCACGGTAATTTCAGGTGTTGTCGGTACATCGACACTGACAGGTGGTTCTTCCGGATTGTCAGGGCTCACAAACTTCTTGACATGGGATGTATTCCTTGAATACTGCGTTCCACCTGGAGTTTCCACAACAACACTGTTACCGGTCTTGCTAACCACTTGGAATGGTACTGGATTAAATGGCGTGGAAAACTTGTCTCTTTTCTCTTGCCTCACCAGGACTTGATCACCAACTTGAACTTCTGATGGTTTTGCATTCATGGATTTATCAGCTATTACTTTGGTCTTTGCTTTCACTTCGGCATCTCTATCTCGAGTTTCCAGGTCCAAGTGATGGTCGGCACGTAGCTCTGGTAGCTTTCCTCTCATCTTTCTGTTAAACAATAATTCCGCAGGACTCTTACCGGTTGTCGCGTGATCAATACCTCGGTATTTAGTCACATATCTTCTTAGCTCCTTCACCCAGTCTAATCCTTCGGCTTGGGCAATGCGGATCCTCTTCATCAGCGATGCATTTTGTCTCTCTACCTCCCCGTTGGCTTGAGGCCATTTTGGTGTGGTCTTGGTGTGAACAATTCCATTCTGCTTACAATATTCCCGGAATTCTTCGGAGCGGAATTGTGGACCATTGTCTGACTTTATGGTCAGAGGAAGGCCATGGCGGCTGAAAATCTCTTCCAGGTTGTCAATTACTTTCTCTGTGACGGTTGACATCATGATGGCGTACTCATAATAACGACTGTAGTAGTCCACAACAACAATGATTGAGTGTCCCGAAGGAAGTGGTCCTAGGAGGTCTATAGCTAGGTCTTGCCAAGGACCTTCTGGTAATGTCGTGGATCTCAATGGCTCAGGTGGGTCTGGGCGAGATACCAGTTGACATCCGTGACAGGACTTGCAGAATTTCTCTGCTGCCTTATCCATACGAGGCCACCACACCTTACTTCTTAAATTTTGCTTTGTTCCCACAATTCCTAGGTGTCCTTCATGGGCTAAGCTGATTGCCTGAGCTCTGAGTTTGTTTGGTAACACAATACGGGTACCTCTCAAGACTAGCTGTCCAATCACACACAGTTCTCCTGCGGCTGGTGCATAGTTTTTGCACTTCTCAAATCTGCCAGTTTTGATTGCTTCTCTCAGGACTTTTAATTCTTCATCTGTTGCAGATGCTTCTTCGACTTCTCTCGTGGTTAATGCTTGTGGAGTGGCACTGATAGCTGCGAATCGGATGTACTCTTCTGCCCCATGTGGATGACTCGTCACTTTGTCTTGCTTAAGCAGGCGGGAAAGAGGATCAGCTATATTATTCTGCCCTGGAGTATATACAATTCGGAAGTCGTAGGGTTGTAACCGTATTGTCCACCGTTCGATGCGGGCACAGGGCTTGGAACGTGGCCCGTAGATGACCTCCAACGGTTTGTGGTCAGTTACCAGATCAAATTTCATGCCATAAATGTATGCATGATACCTCTCACATGCCCAAACGAGAGCGAGGGCTTCCTTTTCGGTCTGGGAATACTTGCGCTCACACTCTGTCAAGCTGCGGCTTGCATAGCAAATTGGCACCCATGCTTTATTTTGGTTCTGTAGTAACACAGCTCCGAGGCCGACTGGACTGGCATCAGCTATTACTTTGGTTGCTGCGCCTTTGTTAAAATATGCAAGTGTTCCTGCGTCTGCCATGCTCTGTTTCAGAATCTTAAAAGCGGTTTTCTGCTCAGGTCCAAAGTGGAATGGAACAGCCTTTCTGGTCAAGCTCCTTAGTGGCTCAGTGATAGTAGCGAAGTGAGGAATAAACCTGCTGCTATAATTGGCCAATCCCAGGAAGCTTCTTACTTCGCTGACGGTGGCAGGTTCCCTTGTTTCTTGCAAGGCTCTGATTCTTTCTTCTGTTGGGCCAATCCCTTTTTCAGAGAGAAGAATTCCCATGAAAATCACTCTGTCCACATTGAATAGGCATTTGTCAGCATTGAGAGTTAAGCCATGCTGCTTGAGGCGTTCCATTGTCTTATATAGGCGTTGGTCATGAGTTGCCTGATCCGGGCCATGTACTATGATGTCGTCAGATATATTATCGACTCCTTCTATTCCAGCTAAAGCTGTGGATATCTCATGTTGGTACTGCTCACTCGCTGAACACACGCCAAATAATAGACGTTTGTACCTGTACAAGCCTTTGTGCGTCACAAAGGTGGTGATTTGTCGTGACTCTGAATTAAGTTCCAATTGGTGGTATCCCCACTTTAAGTCTAACTTGCTAAAGACTTTGGAACCATTCATATTGTGTAGCAGTTCATCTACAGTTGGTATTGGGTATCTGCCACGTACTATGGCCTTGTTCGCTTGTCTCATATCGATGCAGAGTCGTATGTCACCATCTGCCTTTGGTATGATCACTACTGGATTTACCCATGGTGTAGGCCCGTCTACTTCCTCTATAATATCACAATTCAACAACTCTTGAACCTTCTTTTCTACCTTCTCTTGCAGATTGAAAGGAATTCGCCTCAGGGGTTGGGCTACTGGTTTCACTGTTTCGTCTATGTGCAATGTTACTTGCTTGGACTTCAACTTTCCTATCCCACTAAACACTTCAGGGAATTTTTGCTGCAGCGTCTGTTTGCCTTCAGCAATTGTGGCAATGTCAACACCTATTTTCAGCACCCCCAACCTCATTGCGGTGTCTTTGCTTAAGAGTGGTATTCCCTTTCCTTTGATAACCAGGAATTCGGTCTGGACTCTTCCTCTGCCCACTAGTACCTCACATGTGAAGCTACCTTTTACTGGGAGGGGTTTGCTGGATGCATAAACGTACAATTTTCTGTCAACGGGAGCTGCTTGTGATTTACACTTGATCTTTTTAGCCTTCAGATCTTCCCATGTACATTCATCGATAATGTTATTGGTGGCCCCAGAATCCACCAACATTTCCAATTCTACTCCACCCACAGACAATTTGAGCATATTTGACTGACCTTTATTGGTGACCCTGAATGCATAATCGACTTGCTCCCCATCGGGTTTTTGTTCTTCTTGCACCTGATTGACTCCTGGCTTCTTTGGTTTGGTTTTGCAGACACTAGCAAAATGACCTTTCTTTTTACATTTTTTACATGTTTGGCCTCTGGCAGGGCATTTCGGATCTCCACCAAGGTGACCACTCCACCCACAACGAGGACACTGACTGTCTCTGTTCTTGCTCTCTTTGTTTCTTTGTTGATCTTTTGGTCTCCTAGGTTTTTCATAGACCCTGTGTGCTTCTGTAGTCTGTTCACTCAAGCTAAGCTGAGACATTTGGTGTTCTACACTTTCACACTGTTCTGCAAGCTCTAATGTGCGTGCGAGAGTAAGTTCATCTCTTTCTTCAAGCAATTTACGTTTGACATAATCTGACCTGCATTTGCATAAAATCGCATCTCTTATCTGATTGTCAAAGTCTGCCCCAAAATTACAGTCTTTCCCTTCTTTTCTCAGTCGGGTTACAAACTGCAAAACGGTCTCACCTGGCTGTTGTTGGAGTCGGTGAAATTTTTGACGCGCAAAAGCGGAGTTAACTTTGGGGAGAAAATAGCCATTCAGTGCTGTTACAGCGGCGGCGTAGTCCGTTGCTTCGCCGGTGTTCGCGAGAGTAGAGAAAATTTCTTGCACATCTTGTCCCGCTAAATGGAGTAGCATAGCTCTTCTTCGTTGTCTGGTTGTTGCATTTGTACCTTCAGTGATAATCAGACCTTTGCCATCGGCAAACAATTCAAAAGATGTGAACCATCGCGTCCAGCGTGGTCCTAACGTGGCAGGTTCCGAGTGACAATCGAACTTAGGAATCCCCTTGGAAGCGCCATTTTCGCTCAAAGACATCTTGTGTCTCACAGAATTATCCTCGTCGCCAATGTTGTATCCTCCTAATGCATATACTATGCCTTGGATTCGTACAGATAAGATTCACACACTGATCGACCATGTGCTTCTTCTTTTTATTACCTACTTCATATAGGAGTACATGAAGCCTGTCTGCGCTCAGTACGTCATGTAATACATGACACTCCTTTAAAGTGGTAGACAGATCAAATAAAACCCGGAAATCCACCGTCCAACTTCCTTCTACTCTGCCTCTGGAAAAAGAGTAACATCGTAGTGTGGAAGATGTGGAACAATGTGAAGAAGAGGAAGATCCGTGCGCTTTGTGTGATGGTGACCCGCCAGATTCCGACGATGATGTGGTGCCCACTTCCTCCACCAGCTCCTACAAAATGCGCAAGGAAAGGCTCCACAAAAAATGGGAATCCTTGCGATCCACATTGCTGCAGTTCTCTGTTGAAATGGAAGGTTTCGTGCCCCATCAATGTAATTGTGGTAAAACGGTGGAAAGTCGATGCAGGGATTGTAGCTTTACGGCATACTTCTGCCTTGATTGCTGTAATCACCTGCATCAGACCAAACATCATTTTCATCACCCAGAAATAATACAGGTATGCATGACCTTTGTAATTATCAATTTTGTTTTTTGCCCAGAAGAGTAACCCGGGTTTAAGAAATTTATTAAGCTTGTCTTTTTTTTATACTGAATTTTTCAGGACGGTGTTTGGAAATTGCACACTGTTCCTGACAGGACATTGAGTAATCCCTATCATTCTTGCTCATTTTCCTACACAAGGGAAATAACGGTTATAGATGAAAGAGGTAAAGCTATCCCTAAAGACCAAACCATGATTGTTGTTCATGTTAATGTAGTCCTGGTATTCACTTTTTGCAGTTATTTAATATATTGTAAACATTTATATTGTTTTGGTGAGCTTAATTCTAAGGTTATTAAAATATCGGTAAAGTCAGCAATGTTCTTCCTTGTTGAATATTTTTTTCTGAAGGTGGTCAGCATCTATTGAAGATTCTCTGTTGCACTTGTTTTAGTGTGGCAGAGAGTTTTCTGTTTCAAGGTTTGTGGCCTGCTACGCCAGTGGAACCAACCTTGGCATTCACCACAAGTCTGATGGAATTTACCCTGGCACTTGTGATGGAATGCCAAGTTTCCATTTTTGATCTTGTGAAGGCCTTAGACTTCTACTCCCACCCTCTCATAAAGGTTCGTTATAGGTTTAGCTGTAAACGACTCCATCGTGTGATAGTTATCAGGGTCGGCCAGGGTTTTTGGGTATATGGTATTAAGGGGCTTTTTTAATTCGGGTATGCGGTATATTTCAGCTGAAAGATGGGTATACTACTAATTTCGGGTATATAGTAGACTATATAACGCTTTGATTAATTTTAGGTATATTGGGAGAAATCTTGGGTGTTTTGGGGTATTTTGGCGGATCTTTTTCGGGTATACTGGTATACCACTATCCCCCGCTGGCCGACCCTGAATTATTGAGGGCAAAACCAAATAAACCATCACACAAATAATATAGAAATCATGAGATCATAATATATTATTGCTTTAGTATAAATCTTCATGACCTAGCCAAAACTTTAT